AAAAAAGTAGTTTCTTAGTGTTTCAGCCTCAGTAGCTTTGACATAGTAACATCTGCTGTAATATTTACACCTCTGATGAAATCTCACTTTATTATAATAGAATATTTATTAAAATAGCTTTATTTTGATACCAGGATTGTTTACATAGAGTTTGTAATTGCTGAGAAATACAATATTCAGTTTGGGCATGTCATTTTCGAGAAGGAAGCTCAGAAAACCCCTGGAGGCATTAACAGGTAAAAAGATTGTGGCTATTTACTCCCCTCACTAAAAATCAAGTTAGCATCCCTTTCAGTTTTACACTGATTTACTAATGTACCTTGCTAACCAAGATAGTTGCTCAGTGTTAGCATTGGGCGTGTTTAGTATATATTAAAAAAAAAACCTCAAGATGGTGACAACAAGAAAAACCAGTCTTGCAAACAGTAATCCATAAGCTACTATGTATCCATCTTTTATGTGAAGTCTATGTTCCAGTTGCTGTTTAATGCTGGCAAATCAGTGCTGAAAAGTGTGATTAATGTGATTTTTAATTAACATTAGATTACATTTATTTTCTCTTCGTTGCAGGCTTCTGTGAATCATGTCAAAGCAGCAATAACTGATCTGGTGACTGCTAGTGAGGAGCAAATTAATGACATCAGCTCACTGGTGATACTTCAGTTTTTATTTTTATCTGTTGCGTAACAAACTAAACGCTGCCATGAATTATGCAGGTTAAGTGTTTCTGAATGTTTTAAATTGTGCAGGAAGAAGTTGCCCAAGAGAATCAGCAGAAAATCGAGGCAGAGAAGCAAAGTGTTCAAGAAGCAAAGGCAGAACTCGACAAGCAGCGAAAAATGGCCGAAGACTCAGATTCCAAGTACTCATCTGTCAGAGACCGGATTGATCAGCTTCTAGAGGAAATAGAGCCCCTTAAGGTGCAGTAGAGGTTTTACAGTTTCAGGTCTACAACTTGTTGTTTTGTGCAGGTTTCCAAACCTTTGTGCTCTTGATCTACAGGATGAACAGCTGAAACTGGAGACGGAGTGTGCCAAGCATGAACGAAACCTGAAAATCTTAGAAAACAAAGTGAAGGCTCATGACGACAACATTGAAGGCATGAAAAATGAACTTGCCCAAAGAGAAGAAGAGCTACAGGTAGGAAGATTTTTTTATTTTTCAGCATGATACGGTGTAGTTAAGCTGTAGTTTAGCTGTAGTTTAACTATTCACGCCAGCCGGTATTCGGTGAATTCAATCAAAGAAAGTCAGCAGACGTCTCGTGATGTTACGACAGGAATACGTGGCAAAGGCTACAGAGATTAGTCCTGAACGGCAGCACGTGGTCGGCAACACCAAGAGCATCGGCACAGAAATCACTCGACTGAATAAGAAGATCAAAGTGTACGAAAGCAACCACGGCGAGCAGCAGCAGGTGGTCAGGTGAGAAACTGAAGGCTTTCAGCAACAGAGGCAGAAATTATTTTAACAGTTAAAACTCAAATGTTTAATGAGCTAATTCATCAATCATGTTAGTGCATGTGTAAACTGTATGTATAAAACTGGTAGAATGTAGGTAATCTAATCAGGTACTGTACCTGTGTACAGACTTAAGGTACTTATAATATATATTAATCCCAGTTTCCCCCTAGACCTAAACTGGCACCCCACTCAGCCAAGGATTTTCACCTGAGCTGACTTGTTTTATTAGCTAACCTAAATAGACTATTGGGCATTATCATGGTTAAAGTAGACCAGAACCATCCAGAACGATGGTCCAGGAACTTTAATTGAGCCACGAATTGAAATCTAATAATTTTCTTTAGTCAAAGGTTGCATTACAATACTAGACTGTCCAGTTCAGTGCATACTAAATTGGTTAGTTTGCAGCAGTGTGGTGAAGTTTACAGTAAAGCAGCAATGTTGGAGTAGTGCACAGCAGCCTGTGTTGTTCATGGTCAATGTCCGGTGACATCCAGAGTAGCAGACATCAAATTTAAGCTGCTCTGTTATCTTGTTGAATTCAGATAAGTCCAAAAAGAGCAGCAATGGCACATGTTAGCTGATCACAGCTGTATGCAAAGGAAACAAATCTATTGGAGCTCGAAGTACAAGTTTTTATCTTATTTTTAAGTGATTTTTCTTCTCAGTGCTACACCTGACAAATCCACTTTAACCCCTATTTACACATAAAACAACAGCTGAAAACAACCCAGACGTATGAAACAGGCAACTGTTATGATTTGCTATTGTTTTCCTTGCCCTTATGCTTCTGCTAATGAAAGATGACTATCATAGATTGCTACATGTGAGTCGGGTTGTTGAGGTAAACAATAGACTCCTCGGTCTCCTGCACGCGCTCTCGACCTCCGGTGTTAAAGACCGTAGGCGCACCACCACAGACGCATCGACGTCTGTGACGCACATGGTGCAAAAATAACTGCATTAATCGGGTGCAACGTTACATTGAATAATTATTGTTATCTACTAATTGTTGTCACCACACTTAAATGTGGTGTCTTACTTTAGATCGAACAGTGTTTTTGTATTCACTATCTTGCCTTTATTTACATATTTATAGAGGGTGCAGTGCTAGAAGCACTTCTGAATGTGTCATGGGTGTTATTTGTTTTATTAACACCTATGACAAGTGGAATGCTATTGGCATCAAAAACCTAGACCTGGTGGAACTTAGCTGTTGTACTGGATAAAGGAATATATTGGTTTTTTGTAATCAAAATGTCCAACCTTATCATATAGATAATATTTTAGAAAGCTCTGTCTCAACTGGCTGCAACAGTTAAATCCTTCTCAGACACTTATGCATCAGTAATAATATTAATTTCATTATGTATAGTAGTATTACCCTTATAGGACTCATTAGCAAAGTTGATGTGCAGAGCTGTAGCAACTATAGAGATATAAACTTCAAGTAGGAGTAATGGATGGATTCAAGGTGGGGGTTGACAGATGAGACCGGGCAGAAGTCTCTGTGGACTATGATGATAGCAGATGACACTGTGATCTATAGAGTAAGGAGCAGGAGGAAGAGATCCTGGAAAAGTGGAGGTGTGCTCTGGAGAGAAGAGGAATGGAAGTAAGGAAGCAAGACAGAATACATGTGTGTGTGAATGAAATGGTGATGACGCTGGGAGTAAAGGTAGTGAAGGTGGATCTGTTTAAATACCTGGAGATCATCCAAAGCAATGTTTAGTGCACAAACAAGGTAAAGAGGAAAGTGCAGACACAGTGGAGTGGGTGGAGATGAGTGTCAGGGGTGATTTGTGGCACAAGGATGGCAGCAATGGTGAAAGGGAGTGTTTACAGGAGGCCTGCGATCTAGTTTGGAGGGGGTTGCACTATTCAAATGACGGGCGGCAGAGCTGAAAGATGTTAAGATCTTTAATGGGAGTGATCAGGAAAGTTGGAGAGGCAAAGCTGAGATGTTTTGGACATTTAAAATTGAAGTGTTTAAAGGTAGAATTTACTCACACAGCAAACATGACTCATACTGATTTAAAAGCTAACTTAGTTTGCTGTAGACCAACTGTATTTTTTCCAAAAACCTTTTTACTTAAAGGCTTCTTCAAAGACATCTTCCATCTTCATTCTAACCTATCATTTTCCCTGGATTTCATCTCCCAAGAAATAAGAAAGGCGCGCTTCTGCTCACTGAGTTTCAGCTCATCTCCTTCGGACTGTCTCTTCCCCTGTACGGATTAATCAGATCTGCCTGTTGGCCATCACTAAATCATCTCCTGCCCTCATTTTACATGTGCACACTGAAAGCTGAATTGAGAAGAATTTAGGCTATGCCAATTTCTTCCCTCTGACCTCATTAGGGAGTACGCCGAGGCCCTCGCTCTCTACAGAGAGAAAACCAACCAAGTAAGAGATTTGCGGAGGTTCATCGATCGTCTGGATAACATCATGTCAGACAGGCAGAACAGATACAAAATAATGCGTAGGTAAGTAACGATCTTGCACGGTAGAAAAATATAATATAAGGATTCATTGACGTGGGAAATATTGTACTTTTGGCTAAAACTTTTTCTTCTCTTTTCCCTGAAGGTCCCTGTCTGTCAGATGTAAGTTATACTTCAATAACTTCCTAATAAAGATGAACTGCTGTGGATCTATGATTTTTGACCACAACAACGAGACGCTCTCTATCATGGTACGTGCTTATCTCTCTAGTTTGCCAGAAAAGTTTGTTACATTACAGCAAACCAGGAGCACAGTTAATATAAGTAACACTCAAGTTTGTTGGCACTGAAGGTAAAGCCTCCAGGCAGGGAGGAGGATGGTGTGAGTGACATGAGGTCGCTGTCGGGTGGTGAGCGCTCCTTCTCCACTGTTTGCTTCATGCTCTCACTGTGGGAGATCACCGAGTCACCCTTCAGATGCCTCGACGAGTTTGACGTCTACATGGTGAGTGCACAGAAAACACATTAGTCGCATGTAACCAGTAGAAAATGCTTACGGGGTTTGGCTTTTACTCACTTGACTTAACAGTTCCGTTTCTTCTGCTGCGGCAGGATATGCACAATCGAAGAATCTGTCTGGATCTGCTTCTGGAGCTGTCAGAGCGGCAGCATCTTCGACAATTTATCTTCATTACACCTCTGAACACCAGGTAATGTATTTTTGTGATGTTAGCCTTGATATCCTTTGACGTTTTCTCTGTGGAGGCTGATGTGCGCAAGTAGAACAATTGTAGATTTTTGTTGTTGTTATTGTTCCTGAAATCATTTTATGTCAGTTTGTCAGGTAAGTATTTTTGATTGATCCTATATTCATCTTTTTAAACCTCCCACTATCCATCTTTACCTTTTAATCTCTAAAAATGACCTGTGCTGTGTGAAAAATGATTGACAACTGATCGAAAGGTTCGTATTTTTCAGCAATCTACCCAAGTCGGACCTCATCAAAATCCACCAGCTGCGGGCTCCAGAAAGACACCGGGGTCAAACAGAAGATGAAGATGTTTAAACTTCAGTGACATCAGTGGATGAATGTTAATGGGCATTACTGTATACAGTTAGAAAAAAACGTTTATGAACCCTTTTGAATTACCAGGATGTCTTCATTTAATTGCTCTAAATGTGGTGTGAGCTTCACCTAAGTCTCCAGTGGTATGCTGGCTAGAGTAAACAGGCTATCTAAAGAGCTGTTTACTTTAGCCGGAAAGAGTAAGTGTGCTTTTGAATTTATTTCGTGACTTGTAGATCCTCCTCGGGTAGCAACAACTCCCATCAGACACTTCCTGTAGCTGGTCTTGAAACTTGTACAGTGATGAGGCATTTTGGACCCCTGCTTCCTACAAAATAGTTTCAGTGCATTAACATTTATGGATAAGGCGCAACATCTCACTTGGATTAAGACAGAGACTCTGCCTTTATCATTACAAAACCCAGTTTTCTTTATCAGCTGTTCTGTTGTTGGCTTGCTTAGAAGTTCTTGATATGGCGCCAGGCTCTGAGGTATCAAAGCAACATCAGTCCATGGTTTTAAAATTAGATCAATAGCAACATATGACATATTACACCGTGCCATTATTCATTTAAGAAAAATGCAGCGCCCGCAGGTCGGCCGCTACATTTCAACCGCAAGACCTACATGCGCCTGCTCGCCTAATAGCTGAAGCAGCACCCTTCAGGTCTGGACTTTGACTGAGTCATTGCAACACCTTGATATGTTTTTTCTTTTTCAGCCATCTGAGGTAGATTTGCTGCTGTGCTTGGGATCATTGTCCTATTTTATGGCCCAGTTTGGGCCAAGCTGTCGGACAGATGCCCTCACATTTGACTCTAGAATACTTTGGGATACAGAGGAGTTCGTGGTCGACGCTGTGGCTGCAAAGCAAGCCCAGGTTATCACCCCTCTGCCACCATGTTTGACATTGTGCTGATATACTGTGTTTGCTTTACACTAAACGTGGCGCAATGCATTATGGGCAGACATCTCCGTTCTCGTCTTTCGAAGGCAGATTGTTCCAGAAGTCTGGTCATTTCGTCAGATCCATCTTTTCGAACCCAAGTCGTACGCCATGTTGTTTATAGAGAAAAAGGCTTTCTCCTGGCAACAATTCGAAACAAACCATACTTGTTCAGACTTTTTCTAATTGTGCTGTCATGAACGTTTTAACACGCTAACTGAAGCCCGTAGAGTCTGAGATGTAGCTCCTTTTTACACTTGCTCTGAGCAACGCTCAGCGCTCTGGCTTCAGGGTGAATTAAGCACCTTGATCAACCGTTGTTGCGATTTGGCACTACATAAATAAAATTGAATTGAATTTGCTGGGAGGTCCACTACTAGCAAGACTAAGCACTGTGTAAAATGTTTTCCACATTAATCTTTGTCATTACAGCACGGTGTCCTTCAAATTGTTTGGAAATGGCCTCGTAACCTTTTCCAGATGAGCAGCAACAACCGCTTTTCTACGACAGCTGCTGATATCTGTGCTAGTTGGCATTGTTTTAACTGCTCCAGACCTCCAAACTAATAAAACGTCTGCTTTTATAGAGGTGCTCACAATTGCTGATGATCATTTAGTCAAGTGCATTTGATTAGCAGCACCTGGCTCGTACCCACCCCCTGAATTCCATTGGAAACATTAAGGGTGTACTTAGATTGCGTTTTGGTTTAATTATTAATGGCAAAGTGTAATATGTCATGTTTTGTAGGTCAGATTAGGTTGTATTTACCTCATTTTAAAGACTTGCTAAAGCCACAACTACTTTGTGTCCTGATAATAAAACCTTAAAACTGACAGACAAACATCCAGGTGATCGTTTGCAAGCTTGAAATGTACCACAGTATGTTTGTGTGGAGTGTTTTTTGTTTCTTTTGTTGCACTGATTTCCATGGAGGCTCACACAAACCAATCTTTCTTGAGATTCTTCTTTCTTTTTTTCATTTCTATGAACAATCTGTAATTTATACAGCTGTATCCAAGAAGCTGTTGTTGTTGCTCATGTGAAGGCTCGTTTTTAGCCTACGAGCGCTTTGAGCGATTGCTCAGTGTGTTCACTAAAGGCTGCTTTTATGATTAGTTTTGAGTTTCTCTATTATCGTTACTTAGATGAAGATCACGCCACGTTTTTAACGAGGACTAAATGAAGCCGTAGTTGCAGCTGTATGTCAGTATTACTGTGTGTTTTGGAGATCGCTGTTTTTTAAAATGTCATTTTTCTTGTGATGAGCACTCGTAAAGCACAGATCCTTCCCTGTTGGATCATGTAATGGATTTTGAGTTCTCAACTTTTCATTTTATGTAATGTTTTTATCATTTTATGGCAAATGAATGCAGGCTTTTAAAACAACACAGGAGGTTGTGTGCCAAAAACCATGCACTGTACAAAGTTAATGTTTTGTCCATAATAGATAAGATGTCTGAGTGTAATTTTAATGTTTTAATGAAACACCGAGTGGCTGATGATGATTTCCTCTGTTCATTTTTGGACTTTACATACACGTTCTCAGTTTTAGTCATTAATGTGAAAAATTTCACAGATCTACCAGAAGTGTCCTGCACTATTAACGTTTTCCAGCAGCTTTTATTCCAGTTTTCAAGGGCTAATGCCTGTGTTCAAGCTGCCACGTAAAGATGCAATCAGGCCACGGTATCTTCTTGAAAATTGTCATCAGCATCTGGCAGGGCTGCATCCTGTTGCTGTTCTTCTTTCAGGTTGCCCTTGATTACATCATGTGGCAAGCAGTAACACACATCAGAGGTGGCATCCGCTGGAGTGATGGGCAAACACAACATCACAGACGATTACAGTGAAGTTGAAACGCAGCGGCTTAGATAGAAGAAAAACCCAAGAAAGTCAGCGCTGGGGAGAAACCGTTCAGGTCTAATGCTTGTGCACAAATGTTTAGACATCAAAGAAGACTAAAAATACATGAAAGAGATGAGCCCCTCCTGTCCACTTGGATTCTTTATGAGGGAAATGTTTTGATCCCGTCCAGTGAAAGACCTTAGACAGTCAAAGGAGCTTACAAAGAAAAGTGTCTGGACTTCTTTAAGTTGCTTG